GGTGACCTATTTGAAATCCGTTATGTTTACATGATGATGTAGCTAGAGCCTGGTCGTTCAGTTGTATTTCCTCTCGCCGGTGTGTATCGTTTAGTTAGAGGTGGGAACATCAACGATGTACACCGCCGAAATTACTTGTAAAAGCGGTCGAACTCGTCCGCTACATTACCCTGATTTGACTGAGAAGACTAGCCCAGTTTTAAATGCCGTAAAGTGAAAGTGATTGGTTTATTTTCTCGGACAACTGGACGGCATCATATGCGGCGGATCAGGTGACCAAAATAAACTTGTGGTTTTACAGTATTTTCTCTGTGCTTTAAAGGCCCTGTATCAGTCAAGCAAACCTCATAAATTATCGAAATGAAACTTACCTGTTTCCATGCTGCCTATATGCAAGTTTTACCTTGTTTGTGCTGACGTCATTGTTTTTTGTGCATGTGTTCTTCAATTTGGTGTTAATGTCAAAAATGTCGGAAATTATTGTTTAAATCACCTTAAAATTTAATTGACCAGGTAAACAATTGTTTTGGAATTTAGAAGTCCAGTCATATGTTAAATTTTAGAGGAGTTATTATTTACACACAAACTCATGACGTATTACGCACACACTGTCTATGTGACCTTTCACCTTTGCTGGATATTGAGCAGTGTTGTTGCTGCGAGGAGCTTTGTGATTTCAGACTTTCAAGTCCGTCAGTCTGGCTTTCATGATAGATAACCGGTACCTGAATGCTAAAGAGAGCGAATTTGTCGACTTAGTTTTACAAGACATCGAAAATTTCCAGGAGCAACACGACTGGGACAAAAGGTACGTCTGACTCTTCTGACATCTCGCGAAACTCGAGCTTCTAACATGTAGACAATGTCACGAATGTGAGAAATGTGGGATTTGTAATTTTATAGTTTGTTCAGTTTGTTTACATTTCCTGACATCGCCATCGCATTATTATCATGCTTGTACCGTAATGTTATAATCACAGGTTAAAATGATACAATAAGTGTCATAATAACCAGCACATATCTAAAACTGCTATAGATTTCATGTCGATTTAAAGTTTTACAAGTCCTCTTGCATTTGCAAGTGAACTTGAAATGACGATTCCATGTCGGAATACAAATTTAAAAATTTGTATCCATAAATAATTTACGACTATTAATTCTGAATTGTGTAACTACCATTTTTGTCAAAGTAGTATTGTCATTTTATGAGTTTAAGGAAAGTTTACTTCATTATTTTTTTTATTTCTATCAATAGTTTTATTATTACTCTAATGTTTTAATACTATATTTATACTGTAAATCACTTAATTTTCACTTCTAGTAGTTTTCGCGATTTTATATTTTGTGACAACAGTTTTCAAAGGTCACTGCTAAAAAATTAAATTGGTTTACAGTTAGTTTAGTATTAAATAAATAAAATAAAGATTATAGATATTATTTATGCATAGATTATTTATGGTTAAATATATTTAAAATATACATTGAATATTGCAAGACCTGAATTACTATCAGCACAATCCTGCTGTTGAATTTCCGTTGTAGCACCAACCAACAAAATAGAACGCACTGACTGAGCAGCCCTTATAAAACAAAAAATTATATTGAATATTTATATATATTTCCACGATAGTTTCTTTTAGGTTGATGACACCAGACACAAGTAGTTACTGATTATCTGGCAGTAATCATGAGTACCGTATATATTCATCACATACTTCACAGTACGATACAATGAAATGACAGTGTTGACAGTGGTATTGCTGAAATAACACTGAATACAAATATATCATTGCGCGTGCCTTGTATGCTAATTTTTTTTATACCACAGTGTTCTATTTCACACATATATATACCTTGTATACGCTGTATAGCAATTTTGCTTGTTTGTAATATTTGCTCAAATTCATTTTTCAAGGAACTGAATAATAATAGGTGATTTTCCGTACAATTGCGAGATCTCGCGAGATGCATGAAAGACGCGCGTCGAACGTCTGTCGCAAAAATCAAACGATTTGATTTTGAACTAGAATTTCTTTATTTCGCAGCTTACATTGACCGGCCGATCTTCGACAGAGGAATATTGCTTCCGAATACCCTTACTTAATCGAAATTGCCTATAATACTTTCGCGTTTGTCGAATCCCACGCGATGTTTGACGCGACTACAACGCTATGACCTTTGTTTGTCCTGTTTTTACGTTCGATTTCACGCATAACGCGTGATTCTCGCAGTGAACGGAAAATGGTCTATTCATGTGTGCCGACCTTGATGGGATTTTGATGGTTCTGGTTTCTGTCACTTGGTCTTTTCAAAATATCCATTTTAGGATGAAATAAGAAAAAAAATATAATGCTTTTAAACCAGTAACACCTTTTTTAGTTTCTGTTTAAGACGAAGAAAGAAAGTTTGAGACAGCAGTGAATTTTTCCAAAAAAGCTATTAGTCCCACACTTACCTTCTGTCATAAAACACTTAGGTGCGCATATACCCCCAGTATATCAGTTTGCTAAAAACAGATGTATACCTTTTCTTGTAGTATTCTTCTTTTCCCACCTCTACTAAGCCATTATCGATTCCTCATTCACCATACCGTGGAAGATTTCAACAATCTGTCAACGTTTTCTGTTGGTGAAGGAGACGATAGAAGAACTGTTGTCTGTCCTCTTCATCTCAGGTAAGTTTCTGTTCAGCATATAGAATGATGATATTTTCTCAATTTCTTTCCACAAAACAAAGAGCATTTGCAGAAGTTAGTGAGTCACATGATTGTAATATTGGAGATACTGAGCATTAGGATTTTGTTGCCACAACTGTATGTACACTAATGCTAAATTATACAGTGAGTGACATAAACCTGTGCTTATAAACACATTTATATATACAATGTATATTTATTTCTATATACTCGGCTTTCATTCACAAAAACTGAAGACTTTCTTATACTACTAGTATTACCCTATTATACTAGTCTTATATGCTCTGTATGTAGTGTATCCACTTAATAAATGATAGATTTATCTATATAATGGTTAATTTGTATTTTAATGATCAAAATACATTACATGCAATTTTTGATTTTCTTTGCATCAGTGTTTTTTAAAAAAAGACAGAACATCATGGCTAATGTGCATATCAATAAAACATGTTAATTACTTCCATTGTATCCATTGTTATGCTAAGCAGGGGTCTTGCCATACTGGTCAGCAGTGACCAGCCTTCGAAATTAAAGACCACTATGGGAATCAATGTTGCCAATCAGGACAGTTGTTCTATTGTTATTATAACTGGCACGTATCCTGTTAATCATGAATTAGGATTTGTAAATACTGGACCTTGGGAATTTTTCATATAAGAGAGCATGTCTAAACTTTTTTTCCAAATAAAGGTTGTTGCCCCTTTCCACTTTTTGAATAAGTTACCCCTTATAGAGCAAAATTATTAAAAAAATAATTACAGGAAAATGGCAGCAAAGGAAGAGGAACTACTTGACTGGCGTAGGAATCCAATGGATGGTGATGCTCAATGTGGTTATAGGACAGAATGTAAAAGAGAAGATGACAGACAACCAAAAAATAAACAGCACTATGATAAAACCTCATCTAAAAGTGTGAGACTCTCCTCCCTTGATGGAAGTAGTGGTGATGTCAGAGAGCGTCATGAAAAACCAAGAGAACGAAGGTATTGCACATGATTATGTTTATAGTATAGTCAGAGCATTACCCAGAATAACTTATGTTTCATGAATTCTTTGTGTGGGCAAACACAAACACTTCATTGAACATTAACCCATCACATCACCAATCAACACCCCTTGTGAACAAAGTTTGCAAGTGCAAAATAAATGTAACAAACTATATAAACAATTCAGTGTTATTTTCATGCATAGTAATTGACATTTTTAGCCAACATTCGTCTGTATGAAATTTATACCACTGTAATCTGAATCCCAAAATTCTTGGACATTCAATCATTGTAGCAGTACTCACTACTTCCTTAGAGATGATAGCATGCATTCCACATCTGTTATTGTGAGATAATTAAATATCTTATTGAGTTGTGTAGAATTGTTGTGAAATAGCTAGCTAACCCAACATTTT